AGTACAGTATATACACTGTATATATAAGTACAGTATATACACTGTATATATAATTATAGTATTTACACTGTATGTATCAGTATATAAGTACAGTATATACACTGTATATATAATTGTGTCACTGTTCTGCAGGAATGCTGCTGGTGACCGCCGACTCTCTGGGCCATGATTTTCACATCTTCAGAATCCTCACCCATCCCTGGGCCTCCTCGCAGACCGCTGTTCACCATCTTTATACCCTGCATCGTGGTGAGACCGAGGCCAAGGTCAGAAACACAAAGTACCACAAGTTTTACTTTGAACAAAGTCTATCAGATGTTCTGTTTCTGGTTACAACCACAGCCAGCACCCCTGCCTGAGGAGCTGAAGCTTGAGAGTGGGCCTGTCACCATTACTAATTTTGCTGGGCGATTAAGTGATTTATTGGTTATATATATGTCAATCTCATGGCCCGGGGGCCAAATGTGGCCCTGGCTGACATCTTATCTGGCCCCCAAGATGATATGTGAAACGTAAGATCCTTTTTTTATTTGCAGTTTTTCAGTAATCTTTGATTATGATGTCAAAAGAGAACGTCAAATGAGACCAATCCCACTCAGTTCAGTATATCACTAATCCAGCATGGAGGTTCATGTCCACCATGGAGCAGCGGATGGCAACTGTTCATTCATCAATATGTACATGCTGTAAACATTATAAAAGGTTAACATTGCAGTCTTCTTAAACACATAAGTTCATTTTCTGTGTTTGATGCACACTTCCTGGCGTTTTGAAACTGCTACAGTGTCAGAACGGCTGTGCAGGCTCTCTCCCGTTGGACTGTCACAAAATGATCCGTCCATGTTTTCATTAGAGCGCTCACTTCTGACTCTGTGTTGAGACTTGGAGCCAGTCTGCAGAGGCCACGTGGACTCACAGACCTGCATGTCCAGAGCAGTCTCCTTTTGTTATCAAATCTACACTGGACTCTTGGCGTGTCCCCTCCAAACCTGTCTTTGTCACGCAGCAGTGGCGAACCATCAGGGCCTTCTTTTTCATGCAGCTTTTATTTTTACAGACGAGCCTCGTTGAGCCTCGAGGACTCATCCACAAGAGAGACCAGTCAATCACTACCTCACATTTTACTGTACTTTTTCCATTCATTGTGTGAATGCATTGTGCAAAGTTGTATTGCTGCAACTTTAGCTTTTTGAAATATTTAGCCTTTTCTGCCATTTTATTCTCATAGAAAATGAGTTGAGCTCATTGTCCCTCCGTCAAATCTTCAGATGTGTTTACAACCTTTTACTGCTCCTTTCACATCAATCAACCTTTATTTGTACTGGTAAAATCATCATCATCATCACATTCACTTCTGGTTCAGCTGCTTTCGGCTTATTTCAGCTATTTTGCTGCTTTATGATAATTTTAGTCTTTTCAGCTAATTCCACATTCTTTGTACTCATTTCAACTTTTTTCAGCCTAATTCAGCAAAAATGTGCTCTGTCCACTTCATTTTTGTAATTTCAGCTTCTTTCTGTTTTTTTTTTATCTAATTTGCAACAATTTTTATTTTTTTTGCCAATTTCAGCTTTTTTCTGTTTTGTTAGCTACTTTTCAACAGGTTTTTTTTTTGTTATTGTTGCCAATTTCAGTTTTTTTGAGATAATTTCCACTTTTTGTGCTCATTTCTGCTTCTTTCAACTTATCCAAAAAGTTCAATCTGGTCCTCTGGACATTCAAAAAAAACAAAACAAATCAAAACAACAAAAAATGTAGAAACGTTTCGTCTCTCATCCTGAGGACTTCCTCAGTCTGAGGTGCTGTATTCAGCTCAGTCTCTTAAATAGCACCTTCTTAGAGTGGATCAACCAGTTTTGCTGCTGACAACCAAAACCAGCTGATCACATGCTCAAGAAGGACCATCAGCCTAACAATGGATCATTAGCACCTGATGGCTGTTTACTGTTCACAGAGGGCTGAGTGATACTAGCAATCACAGCATTGTAAGAGGGGGACAGTTGAACCTGGAGGCTCCACCCCTGTTTAATGATGAACGATTTCTTTTCACAAAGATGGCCTCCTTTACTCCTCTCTCAAACCATCGTTCCTCTCTGTCCAGGGTGTGAACATCTTCATCCCTGAAAGAGTGACCTCTGACCTGGAGATGAGTGTAGACCGCAGAGTCCTGGCCTGATGATGTTGATCTTCTGTGCTGGTCCATCCTTTTGGCCAGTGGCTGACTCAGTGCAGTGTGAATGAAACGCAGCAGCTGAAATTTAAACAAATGTTCTGAATACTGGTTCCCAGTTGAACTGAGTCCACCGGACTATCATGTGTGAAAACAACCTAAGCTTCTTTCTGCCTTTTCAGCTATTTATTAGCTAAATGCAGCTTTTTACACCATTTCAGCTTCATTTCAACATGTTTTTAGCTAGTTTTAGCTGTTTTTAGCAAGTTCTTCAGCAATAATGTTCGGGCTGCTGTTTAATACACTGTATTATTTTACATTGTCAGTGTTTAGCGTGTATCTTAGATCTTTCAGCTTATCGTTTAGCATTAGTTTGCATATCTTACTTTGTAACGCTGATCCTTGTTTAATGATTCTTTGTGCTTTTCGACCACCATCTGTTGCTAGGGTCAAAGAAATCAGCCTCGTGCGTTTAGAGTCAACAGTGCACCTGCAGGTTGAAACAAACCACGTTGAAACTGTTACTTTGACCAGTCACATGTTGAGTTGGTGACACCGGAGCCTTCTGTCAGGCGTTGGACCATGTCAGCGTTTTCCCGTCGTCTGACCAGACGGTCAGAGAGCGTTGGCACCACGACTTCATCTGCAGCATCCTGCACAAGCTAAATGACGAGCAGACGTTCTCAGCCCTAAAGTGAATCAAAAGTTGTGGCAGGAACGCGACAGAACAAACTCCACTTTCATCGTTATCTTTCTTGGTGACAGAAAATGAGTTGTTGTTGTTGATAACCTGTTGGGAACCAGGAACTGAGCGCGTCCTTCTTCGTTAGCGGCTCCATCTCCTGAATCTGTAGCTCATGAAATATCGTTACAAAAAGTTCAGGCAAATAATTACACACAGAGACAAACGAGACAACCATTCACTGTCTCACTATCAACTAGGGACGTTTTAGGCCCTTGGGCCCCCCGTCTGCTCCCCCGGGCGTCGTGCACCACGTCCCTTGGCCCCGAGGAGTCTGTTATAAATCTGAATAAAGAAGTCAAGTGTTTCAGCTTTGTTCACCTTTAATGTGCTTCTGAGCTTTGGCCTCCACCCCGGCTGGCTTCTGTTTGCACAAAGTGCGACTTATTATTATCATAAATGCTCCAAAGGCCGTGCCACTCGTTGAATTACTGTCCATGCAAACAGTGTGGGTACAATTTACAACTGATCTGGCTTTAGATGAACCTTTACTGGACTCCAGATATACCAAGGCTCAAAGTTATTTCTTAAAGTGGGACCACATATGTCAACAGCCTCATTAAAAATGCAGACTGCTCTGTTCCTTCCTCAGAATGATGCAGAAATGTTGTAAGTTGTAAGTGCTTACTTAGTGAAACTACTTGAAGGCCTTGTTGGGTTCAGGATTATTGACTGGGAAAACACACACGGCCTGTCTGAGTCTGGTCCGCTGACCGGCTGCACTTTAGGCCTTCTTTGATCCAACCAGCTGTAAACACTGAACGCTAACTGTGGCCTGGTGCTCGGGCCAGGGGTTATCACCACATGCTCACTTACACGCACGCAGACGTGCACACATGCTCAGAAACACTGTGGAGAGTGATAAAGTCTTCAGTAAGGTGGGTGGAGCGACACCTTATCTTCTGTCAGCAGCCAAACATGTGGCCAGCTGCCAGTGACCCGAGGCCAGGTAAACAGAGCTGCAGCTGATAATGGTTGGAAAGGGCTGCGGGTGGGGGTGCAAACACCCTGACTCATAGGACGAACCTTTGAGCACTACTCCTGAGTTTACAGAGGTGGAGCTCCTGTACAGGCCTGCATCTTTCATTTTAGTGATGTGCTTAAACCTTTGAGTGTAGATCGTGGTTTAACCTGAAACTGTTGGACTGGATCGTTTCTCAAATGTTTCGCAGTCGTTGGTTGAAACCTAGCTGTTGTTCCACAGCAGTAGATGCTAACTGCATCAGCTGCACCTAGCTGTTGTTTCAACAGCAGTAGATGCTAACTGAATCAGCTGCACCTAGCTGTTGTTTCACAGCAGTAGATGCTAACTGCATCAGCTGCACCTAGCTGTTGTTCCACAGCAGTAGATGCTAACTGCATCAGCTGCACCTAGCTGTTGTTTCAACAGCAGTAGATGCTAACTGAATCAGCTGCACCTAGCTGTTGTTCCACAGCAGTAGATGCTAACTGCATCAGCTGCATCTAGATGTTGTTCCACAGCAGTAGATGCTAACTGCATCAGCTGCACCTAGCTGTTGTTTCACAGCAGTAGATGCTAACTGCATCAGCTGCACCTAGCTGTTGTTTCACAGCAGTAGATGCTAACTGCATCAGCTGCACCTAGCTGTTGTTTCCACAGCAGCAGATGCTAACTGCATCAGCTGCACCTAGCTGTTGTTCCACAGCAGCAGATGCTAACTGCATCAACTGCACCTAGCTGTTGTTTCACAGCAGCAGATGCTAACTACATCAGCTGTACCTAGCTGTTGTTTCCACAGCAGTAGATGCTAACTGAATCAGCTGCACCTAGCTGTTGTTTCACAGCAGTAGATGCTAACTGTATCAGCTGCACCTAGCTGTTGTTTCCACAGCAGCAGATGCTAACTGCATCAGCTGCACCTAGCTGTTGTTCCACAGCAGTAGATGCTAACTGCATCAGCTGCACCTAGCTGTTGTTCCACAGCAGCAGATGCTAACTGTATCAGCTGCACCTAGCTGTTGTTCCACAGCAGTAGATGCTAACTGCATTAGCTGTTGTTTCACAGCAGTAGATGCTAACTGCATCAGCTGCACCTAGCTGTTGTTTCCACAGCAGCAGATGCTAACTGCATCAGCTGCACCTAGCTGTTGTTTCCACAGCAGCAGATGCTAACTGCATCAGCTGCACCTAGCTGTTGTTTCCACAGCAGCAGATGCTAACTGCATCAGCTGCACCTAGCTGTTGTTCCACAGCAGCAGATGCTAACTGTATCAGCTGCACCTAGCTGTTGTTCCACAGCAGTAGATGCTAACTGCATCAGCTGCACCTAGCTTTTGTTTCACAGCAGCAGATGCTAACTGCATCAGCTGCACCTA